GCCATTTCTCAGTGATAGTTCCGCACCATTGACATTTTTGGCCAAGTCATTCTTTGCAGTGGAGGGGAGCTTCACTGGGCATTGTAGAATATTTAGCAGCATCCTTGGCTTCTACCCCGTTGATGCCAGTAGCACCCTCCAGCGGTGACAGCCGAAAATGTCGGCAGACACTGCCAAATATCCCCTTGGGGGTCAACATCATCCCGGGCCGCGAGTCACAGCTCTGTATATGGAAGGGGAAGCACATATGTTTGATGTCCAGCTTAGCTGTCCATGCTGTAAGGGGCATCTAATCCAGCAGGAGGTGTGGGAGGCTTTAGGAGAGGCTACCTGGGGGAGGTGACACTTCAGCTGAGTGATGACCAGGACTCCACATAGTAAGAGCAGGAATGGCACTGCAGAGGAAACAGCCCTCGTAAAGGTGTGGAGGCATGATGGCGCGGCTGACTGGAGGGACTTCAAGGACAGATGATAGCTGAAGGTAGCCCCCCTCCTGTGAACTATGGCCTCTGACAAGCACAGGAAAAATTGACCTCTTTGCCACGGGCATGAGCTCTGTCCTTTTCCTTGTTTCTTTCACCAACGGAGAGTGTTCTGCAAGATCTGTCAGTGTCCGGTGGCCCCAGGATTTGGTAGCACTGGAGGAACGGTGGAGGCTGGGGGCCTGTCTCACTTTTCCCTCCTGGCCCTTGAGGGCCACAGCCTCCTCATAGTTTGTTCCAGGCTTTTTCTTCCTCAACCCCTTCTGTCACCTTTCTTTGGGAAGCAGATCATTGTCATCTCAACAGTGACAGCCTCGCCCTTGGGAAACACTAGCTTCTGTCTGGTCTTGCTCGGGGATTTAAAATCTCCACCCTCCACTCATCCCCAGGCTTTTCCTTTGAGCCCTGACCTTTGTTCTGTGGCCCTTCTCTGCACTCCTGCCTAGCCCTCAGCCTCCATTCCTGCTAGAACATCCCATTTGCTGAAGATCTCCCTTTCTCCCCGGCCCTCCCCCCCCTTCTCTCCTTCACAAAGCTTTTATTTTCTTCTTGAGTCACAATAAACATTTCAGGGCATCAAGTCTACAGCCCTTACTTGAATCAGGCCAAGTTCTCCAGAGCCATCAGACCTTGTTTTCTTTCTGAAACAAACTCTGATCTTATCTGGATATTAGGCTTATCTTGGTGAGTCACTATGCCTTGTTGGGCTTTTTGCAGTGTGGTGTGACCCTACCCCTGGCTGCTTATTGCTCCTGGGGAGAACGGAAGGGCCAGGCAGGGAGCCAGCCCTGGGGGCTGGGCGGAGGGCCACATTCTCCTAGGCAAGGTTATCATCTGTTGGATTCCTGCCTCTCCCTTGCCCTGAAAACATTCCCAGGGCTCCCATCTCTGCCTTTGTCCACATCATTTCCAGCTCAGACTATTGCAGTTACCTCCCAAGTGATCTTCCCTTTCCCCGCCCTGTCCTTTCCTATCTATGCCCCACAGAAGTTGGGGTGCACATCAGGTTGTGTCACTTGGCTCCCGTTTCCTGGAAATGAAAAATCCATGTCTCTCGTGTTCAGAGCTACCCACCTTTCCAGAGTCTTTCCTGCTAAAGCAGTTACACTATACCCAGCTTTAACAGATAGCTTTAAAACTATATATTCTGACTGTCACGCATTTGCTCTCTCTCTTCCACCTGAAAAGTCCTCCCCTCCTGCTATGGGCTGAGTTGTGTACTCCCCCTACCCCCAAATTCATATGTTGAACTCCTGACCCCCCAGTACCCCAGAATGTGACTATATTTGGAAACAAGGTTTTAAAGAGGTAATCAAGTTGAAATGAGATAAGGGTAGGTTCTAATCCAATATGATTGGTGTCCTTTTCAAACGAGAAAATTTGGACACAGACATGTACAAAGGGGCGACCATGTGAAGACATAGGGAGAAGACAGCCATCTACAAAGACAGGAGACAGGACTCAGAAGGAGTCAACCCTGTCAACGTCTTGATCTCGGATTCCTAGCTTCCAGAGCTATGAGGAAATAAATTCTGTTAAGGCAGCCAGTGTGTGGTACTTTAGAATGGCAGCCCTAGCACACGAATATACCGCCTATTAGCCACTGCCTAAGAATCAAGTCCAAACTCCTCACCATCCCCTAGGAGGCCCTTCTGATCTGGCCTTGTTCTCCCCTCCCTCCAATCTCCTGGGTATCCCTTCTTGCTCCATCTACCGTCTCCTGGTTCCTTCCCCTTTTTCAGGGCCTTCCCCATGTTTTATATACCAAAAACCCTTTCGCCAACTCTTTGTACGGCTGTCTTGCTTAATTTTCAGTCCCATCTTCAAGGTCACCATCTCAGAGAGGCCTTCCCAAACCACCTATTGAAGGCACTCGTTTCCCCATCCCGTTCTTTCTCACAGCTCCATTAACTTTTCCTTCCTAGCATTCTTAATTAGTAACTTTATATATATTTATTTATCTCCTGCCTTCATCAAGCCAGGGACTGATCACTTGGGGGTATATTCATTATCTAGCACAGTGTCCAGCATGTAATGATCCTCAGGAAATATTTGTTGAGTAAATCAATCTTCACCTTGTCAAAGTCTCTGTCTAGGCCTCAGGGTCCAGCCCCAATCCTACGTCCCTCCTTAAATTAGCCTGCCAATCCGCTATTCCAGGAAAATCTTACTGACTTGATATGTCTCTGTAACATGCCCCTTCTGTCGTGGTGGTTACCACTGCCTGCCTGTATGGGTTGTGTGGGGGTTTCCATTTCTGCCCCACATCTTCCCAAGCCAGACCATGCACTGTGCATCTCTGCATTGCCCACAGCACAGGCTGGCACAGGGCCCAACGCTCAGGAGGCCTCAGTAAAAGTATGTGAACCCAAATAGATCAGAGCCGGAGAAATGGTGGGGGAAGTGAGTAATTGGGTCCCTTATAGGGATGAGAAGGGTACCCTTGCCTTCCACAGCTCCTTTTTGTTCCTTTTGCCAGGGAGGGTTTTTTGGGGTAAACATCAGCTGCTGGTTGTAGCCACAGAACAAAGTTCTTAGGCTGAGAAGGTGGTGGGGGAAGTCCACTGGCCTGGAGCCCCCAAATTACAGAGCAGCTCAGACTCTCTTATGCCCAGCTGTGGGCTGCAGGGGAGCGCAGGGCATCTCTGTCAGCTCCTTTCTCTGGAGGAGAACTGGGACTGCAGGAGAGGGGACAGGCCCAAGCGTAGGAACCAGGGGGCCCACCCTAGGGAAGAGCCTACCAACAGCTCCTCCCCACCAAGTCCGCCACCCAGCCAGTCCCTCCGTCCCTCCCTCCTCTTCAGGGCTGGTAGATCCTCGGCCAGTCGTGGCTGGCTGAGCCCTCACTTTGGGGGCTGGGCCCGGACAATGGGAAGCGACAAGCCCCCTCCCCGCTGCCCCAGGGACATAAAGCAGGCCTTTCACAGAGGAGCTCTGGCTGCTTCGGTTGGTTCTTGGCACCCAGCGAGGTGGCGTGGGGAGGGGCCAGAGAGCAAGTGTGTTGGGGGTGGGAATGGGCCGGCGATTCCGAGGAAGCTTGCGGGTCCAGAGGCCACCAGACTGGGCCCCCAGTTGTGGGGTGAGCTCACGCAGGACCACCGGAACAACTTGGAGTGGAGAAGGGAGAAAGGCATCAAGGAAGCTGGGAGATCGTGGCAATAGCCCTGCCCCACCCGGGATCCGCAACTCCATAGCCCTTTCCTCGCTCTTTTCCGGATATCCCCAGGCCCCTGCCCCCTGGGCTCGCAGAGTCCAGAGCCCCGGCTTGGCCAAACCCCTAAGCCCTGAGCGCAGCCTCTCTAGAGTGCTTGTGGCAAAGGTGGTGGGGTGCTCATTGGCTAGTGCCTTTCCGCTGGGCGCGCCAGTGGGGGGGGGCCTTCTCCCTGGACCTTGCCCCTCCGGGTTCCCTCTGGTCTGTCCCCCACCCCCCAACAGCGTCTCTTTCCTCTCGCCAAGAGTTTGGCGTAGACAGCGAGGGAGCCATCGTGACTGACGGAGGAGCCTAGGGGAGACGAGACAGAGACGGCGACCGAGTGGGGGTGGGGGATGGGGTGGGGACCGACGCTGAGCCCTTGGGGCCTGGCGGCAGCCGCGACGCGGAAGAGGTTGAGAGCGGCTCACGCCATTGGGAGTAACTCGCCTGGTTTGGGGCCAAGGCTGGGAGGGTGAGGGTAAGAAGCAAGCTCTGGTTATTTAATTTTGAGGATAAATTGTACAAGTAACTCTTGCACGTCCTTCAACAACCTCACCTGCCCCCACCCCCTCATCCGAGAGCACACATGCACTCCTTCCATCCTGAGATTTTGTCTTAGGGTAGGGGTAGGGCAGTTCGGAGCCAAATAAACGGGTCCCCCACCCCACCCACCCTCCAATTCTTAACCCTGGGTCTACGCACACACACCCATCTTCTGGGATGGGTAGGAGGCTGCTGCGAACGGGGCTCCTAAACATTGCCCCCAGTCTCAGATTTCAAGTTCAAAGCCACCACCAAAGATCAGATCGTAAGAGCCGTGACTTGGGGGTCCGCGTCCTTCTTTGGTTACCTTTTCCCAGACTGTATTCCAATTTCCAAACGTGGAAGAGACGTGTGTGTATGTGTGTGCGGGCGCGCGCCGCCTGTGTGTGAGTGCGTGTGTCTATCACTGTGTGTATTGGGGGTGGGGGGGGAGGGTGTATTAATGGGTGATCTTATAAATGGAAACGAGAGAACTGAACTTAAAATAAACTGGTCAATTGCAAAACAAACAGGAATAAACAACCCTTTAGATGTAATTTGTGGTTTATGTGGAGGTGGAGGTGGCGCTGAAGAGGAACACCCACCCCCCAATATTTTTCCTTTGCTGCGCCTCCACCCCCAGCGTTTGGAGCGGCGGAGAAGCGGCTCTGGAGTGATTAATCCGGGGATAATTCACCCCCCACCCCCCGGCGCGAACCCCGCGAAGCGGGATTGGAGCGAGTCATTTCCGAGAGCGCAGCGCGCCTCTCCCCGGCCGGGCGGACACTTGGTTCATTCCAGCCGCAGAAGCTCAGGGCTCCCGCGTACTGGGATTTTTTCCGACCAGAAAAAAGCTCCAGAGCTCTCCTGACCTCCTTTCTCCTCAGCGGCGAGCGGAGCCTCTCCCTCGGCGCTGCCGGCCGCGCCATGCCGCGCTCGCGGGAACCGGAGCAGGGGCGCTGCGGCTGCCCCGCGGGGAGGGCTCGCAGTGAAGCCGGGATTTTGGCGCTCGTGCCGGGCGCGGGGAGCCGCTGGGGCCGCCCGCCGCCGCCAACGCCGCCGCCGCTGCTGCTGCTGCTGGGCTGGGGGCTGCTCAGCGCCTCGGCCGCCGCGGGTAAGTCCGGCCGCGCCGGGGAGCCGGCGG